ACAAGGCATAGACTTGGTATTAAGAATAGAGACAGGATAGACGTGGCGGAGACTGGATTAAGTTGGCTGACAGTAGGTCTAACCAGAGACGAGGTCCATGTTGCAAAGGCTTGACGATGAGACTTACTCAGAGGCTTGAGCCTCGAATTAGTCACCCAGACACAGAGGAGGGCGAATAACGCCTCGAGTAGCACAGATGGGGTGGCATGGTTCGAGTAAAATACGTGAACCAGGGGGAGAGCAGACGGATCTTACGGGACAAGAGGGAGACTAAGTTAAGACCTAGGAAATGAAGACTGCGTAAAAATATGGCAGACTCTGATCAACATTCCCAGCGCAAGGTTGAAGCGGGTCAGAACTACAGGGTGGAGTGTGAAGGGTTTTCATGAATGCCGCTCAAAGGACCACATCACACTACATCGAAATAAGCACGGTAAAAATTGTAATAGTGAAGGCGTGATAGGAGGATATAGGAAATGCGAATAGCCCTGTGCAGAAGGGGAGGTACCATAACTATTTAGTACACATTTGGTCAAAGGATCGGCCTTACTTGTCTCTTTGATGAATTCTAGTATGGTGCTAAGAGTGGCAAGACTTACTGACGATTTCGGTGAAACGTCTGGAATTGTACCACGTCCACGCTCCCACTTTACAAATTATCATGCATACAATGGACTCCGATATGACCAAGTTGCCAAAACAACTTCTTACAATGTTTTCGATCTAATCCACTTTTGGTCCTTATATCATCTTGGCCCCGACTCGGGGTGATCAAGTTCTCATTCACAAACTCCTTTAGTTTGAGGTCCTAGCACGAAAAATGACCTTAATTGCATAGCGTTTTGTGAAGAGGTCATCACTGTAGAATTAGAAAATGATTTACTATTATTCCTCTCCACTATGCGGTACCATCTGAAACTTAGGTCGGCTATCCATGATCCCCGTGGTCTTGAATCAAAGGCTGGTTTGGTCGCCGTTGTGACAATTCGGGCCCACCATCGTCTATTTACAAAGCCACCGGAAACTCCTTTATCCTACTTTTTCTCAACAATTGACCTTCGTTGTAGTTGTGACTTTAGCTCAGTGAGCTCACTTCCTCCAAACTTCTCTCCAGAGAGCCAATAGTCTGGAAGATTTCTGCAGATTTTGTGCCTGACCATCTGCCTGAACTAGCTTTTGATAAATTTATGGCTCCCGTATTTTGTCCTAGATTTTCTTGTTCTACTTCTGGCTCTCATCCACATGTCCACGTTTGTGTAGGTTTCATCGAGAAGGCTTGGTCGCACCAACTGATCCTCTTCGCCGTTCGAATTAATGAGCCTGTTGTGATTTGACTCCCCAACTCTATCCTTGGTACTACCGTACCCAATACCCTATAGCTGGACAGGTGGCGATTAGACAAGCAAATGGGCGGCCGCAAGGGATCTTACAATTTAATTTTTATTCCCTGGCCTAACCAGCCGAGATCGAGTAATAAATGGAATGTATGGAACAAAAGATTAACTGAGCATACTTTATGCTTCGTAGGTATGGGAGCAATTTGGGTTTCAAAGAAACTCACGGAACTTGGTTTTCGTAGCTGATTGCCTCTGTCTCCAACGTGGTCAGCCAAATAACAGACGAAAGCTCAGCACCGATCGAGCCGAGGAGTTCACATAAATTAATAATCAACTCCATGGTGACCATCTTTCGGTTTCCGGTGCGTCCAAGTATCAAATTTCGTGCACCAACTTTTTGAAACGAAATGACGTACACCACAAAGTTGTTGGAGCACGTCAGATACTCGTAGATGAAATAGGCGTGTCATGACGAGGATCCACTTTTAGTATTTACCACTCATGGCAAGACGTCACTTTAGTGGCATGGAATTAAAGTAGACTAGTCACGAGAGAGTTGTGGTTGCAGCAAGTGGCGTTGTTCGTTGAGATACCTGCTTAAAGCATTGCCTATTTGATGTCTGATTGGTCATGTCGTG